GAAACAACGTGAGCTTCCAGGAAACTCTGATATGTCTGCAAACATGCTGGAGGGAGGCTCCCACCTCCCCAGGGGCCTCACATGCTCCAGAAGCCCGTGCTGGGACCCTACTCTGTGTGACGCCCCAGAATCTGCAGACGTTCCCTCTGACTCACCTGACCCTCAAGACACGGGGAGGCAGCGCCACTGGGCCAGGGTGCAGAGAGCTGGGAGCACGCGGCTCCCGCTCTCACGAGGAAAGGTCGGGCAAACTCCCAGTCCTCGCAGAACTCAAGCCCAACAGCGAGCTGAAGCCACGGGACAGCACGTGGCCGCCACCCTTGGAAGGCGGGCCCTGCAGAGAGACGGGCCAGTGGGAAGAGGGGCCAGGCGCTGGCAACTGGGCAAGAGGAATGCAGGTAGAATTTTCACGCACCACAATGACTGCAGGCTGGCAGGGCCGGCAAAGGACAGAGCTGGCCCCGAGCAGGCTCCTCCGTAGCCCTGCACACGCGCCCACGAGCAAGGCTGAGAGTGGCAGGCGGAGGCCTCCTCGGGGCCGCCGCCAGGGCCGCCACCCTCTACTGGAAAAGACTTTAGGCCACTCCGGGACGGGGGGAGCAAACCTGCCACCTCTCCCAACCCCTTCGCAATGGCGAAGACCCAACACGGCTAGAAAATGGGTGAGAGGGGAAAAACCCTGCCCCGGAGAGAGGGAGAGGGGCTGGAAGCCGCCCGGGCTCGGTCAGAGACACCCAAACGCTAGACGAGGGGCGCGAAACCCTTCCCTGCACAGGCCCTGCCATCGAGGCAGAGCTGGCAATCACTCAGCAGGGCAGAGCCACGGAGAAAGCCTCGCCCGGGGCTGCAGCTGCGTCAGAGGACAGGGGACGTCCCTGTCAAGGCCCCTCCTCTTTCAGCCAGCAAGTTGGAGCAAGAAATCACAGCAGCCCCTCCAACCCCCCCTCAACCTCTGCAAGGCTCAACCCAAAAGCTGAAGGTGGGGCAGGGACACCCAGCGGAGACCCCCTGGACACTCAGCCCCAGGCTGAGCACAAGGAGAAGCTGCAGGAGTTGGAACCAGTGGCCACCCAGGGGTCAGAGCCACAAGCGCAGCCCCTCCGACCAGACCGACCCACCTCCCACACGGAAGGCCCGGCCAGAGAAGCCGGCCCGTTCCCAAGCATAGATACGGCTGCCCTCTGTCTCCACTATCAGCACACCACGGCCAGCCTTCCGTCACAAAGCACTACTCATTTCAAAAGGCAAGTGAAAAAACAGCCCCCGGCAAAAGACAGAACAGTCCCAGACTCCGAAGGTAATCTGGTCAACATGTTAAAGGGCTTGCTGGTACAGGTGAACCACGCGCACGGCACACAAACACGGGGGTTATGTCAGCGGACGGATGGGAGCTGGAAGTCAACATGTTACCGGGAAAATAAAGCCCAGTAAGAGAAACCGAACGCGGGGCTCCCAGACCTGACGCAGTGGAAGAAAGGAGCAGTTATCCCGAAGATGGAGCAACAGACATTGGAATGGGAACTGGAATCTCAAAAGAAGAGAGAGAACAGGACAGAAGAAATAGCTGAAGAGATAGTGGCTGATGGTTTTCCCAAAATAATGAAAGCCATCAAACCACAGATCCAAGTTCAGAAAAACCCAAGCAAGGTAAGCATCCCTACCCTTAAAAAAACAAAAAACAAAAAAGCAAAAAACCTAGATAGGTTCTCTTAAGTGCCTAAAACTAAAGATAAAGAGATAATCTTGAAGGCAGCCAGAGGGGAAAGAGGACCCATTCCACAGAGGACCGAAGAGTTACAGCAACTTTTAATCAGATAAAATGCAAGCCAGCAGACACCCTGCGCTTCCCACATGCCGGTACCAAGGGGGAGCCCTCCGCCCCTTGTCACTTCGCTGAGCCTGGAGCCCCCCAGCCAGGCAGTGAGGTGGCCTCTCCTGCCCCTGCGGAAACCACAGCTCACAAGGGTCATGCCATTTGCCAGGGTCACCCAGATGGCAAACAGCCACATTTAAACCCAGGCCTTCCAGCTCCAAAGCCAGGACCTTATCTCTCAGCACTGGAGCCTCCTAGAGACCCACTCCCGGTGGGAGGCGAGCAGGGGGCAGAGGGAAAGGAAGTGTGAACTGGGTTACCTGAGGTCCACCTGCAGAGCACTCAGAGCAGGGACAAAAACCTTCAAACCCGGAAGTGGCCTCAGCGTCCCGTGCCACAAAGCACACGGAAAGAAGGCGTGACCCTTCCTCCACCTTGGGGTCTGCGTCTGGCTGCCCTAGTGATTTTCCAAAGGCCACAAGGCACCTGAGAGACGGCGCGAGGCCCTGGAGTCTCCGAGAGGAGGCCGAGAGGTCCTCGGGGGTGGCCACTGCAGGCACTGCACCCAGGACTTGGTAAGCAGCCAGCGAGCGTTCCCGATCCCATTCCACACGGCGGCTGGCCCGTGTTCACGGTCCCGGCCCTTCAAAAGGGCCCAGAAGCTGGGAGCCGCCTCTGAGACTGGGCAGTCGAGGCCATGGGTTTGGCAGCCGGGGAGACAGAAGCTCGGACTCACCCGAGGCCAACCGCCTGCGAGACCCCGGACCCCGACCCCAGACCCCTCCCTCTGCCACACCAGCTGCCACTGGAGGTGACTCCCAGGTCCCTTTTTCTCTGGATGAGAGGTGCTCTTCAGGGCAGGCGTTGGGGAGCGGCCAGTTTCTCCGTGTCTGTGGGCATTTCACATACCAAGCGCCGCAGGCGGTGGGACAGGGAGGGGGAAGGCTCCGGAAGCCCTGGTTTAAAGCCAGCGCGGCCACCATGCCTGAGAAAACGGCCCGCTGCCCCAGTCACCATCCCATGGGATGGGTGAGAATGGCGGACTGGGATGAGGCTAAGAACCAGGCAGAAAGTAGAAAAGAAACAGAAAACACTGGCTCCACAACACCCACAACCCCGCTCCTCCTTGACCCCCAGGCCCTCGGTCACCTCAGCTCAGCCTTGGTCCCCCACAGGAGCTTGGGCATGTCACTCAACCTCCCAGGGCCTCTGCTCCCCGACCTGGGAGGCAGGAGCCCACTGTTCTACCCTGCAGAGCTGGGGCGGGGGAATCGTACTGGAACGGCAGACACAGGGCGGCTAGGTGACCAGTGCTCCCCACTCGGGGCTGACGCACAACCCCCGCAGACGGGCCTCAGGACGCGCGGCCCTCCAGGAGAGAAGGTACACGAGGCGGGCGGGGCTGGAAAGGCCCTAAGGGCTGAGGGAAATTCGAAGGTTTGAAAGGGAAGCTCCCAAGGGCCCTGTGTGAAGGGACCTCACAGGAAGGTCTAGAGGCCACTGCTGGATTTTCCGTCACCAAGGGGGGGAGAGACGGGTGTCTGCACCCCTGTAGAAGGATGTGCTCCTGTCTGCCGGGAAAGACTCCCGGCACAAACAAGACGTGAGTCTTGATTACCTAGAAAACTCCCTTATGTTAACGCCTCATCCCCCAGCCAGGTGCCCAGAAAGGTCCCTGCTGCCAGCCCTCCCAGGCCCCCAGGCAGGGCCCCCTTAAAGCAGCCCCCACGTACCCCAGACACCCAGCTTTCCAAGCAAGCACTGCGCCTGCGCCTCCTGCCCCCCACAGCTACTTCTCCACCTCCTCACCATAGCATGGGGGGTAGCACCACCGAACCCAAGTCCCTCATGACAACTCCAAAATCCAAGAGAACTCCCAACACCAAATTGGTCACAATTCAGTTGGAGGCAAACCCTGTCCTAAACTGACATGGGGCTATTTTCAGTCTTTATAGATCCCACAGAACGGGGTGGTTCAGGCTGAGGCAGTTCACGCTGCAGGTTCCACAGTGCGGATATCATCTACACCTCTAAAATATGAAAAGTTCCGGATCCTCCCCCACAAGGGGCTGGGTGAGGGGCTGTGGGCTTCAGCGGAAGGAAAGCCCCTGGCCACAGCAGCGGCAGCGGGCACCTGCTTCCTTCCACTCCCCAAGGGCAGCCAAAAGCGCCTGCAGACCTCTCTTTTCCAAGCTCCCCACCAACATGGCTCCCGGCCCTCCGCTCACAGCCCCCTCCCCAGCCCTCCTCCGAGGAGTCGGGCCTCGCCCTTGGGCGCCTGGAGCTCTGCACAGCTCTTCCAGGCGCCTCCCTCCCTGCGGGTGCTACTCGACCTCCAAGCTGGCCAGCTTCTCCCCCGCACTGCTAAGGACGCAGCGCACAGGCGGCTCCCCTCCCTCCCCAGCACAGTGGCAACACGGGGAAGCCGCCTCTCTCCCTGCAAACCTCCCAGGAGGCACTGCAGGATAATCCCTTCCGTCTGTCCTGGACACTGGCCGCTGCCGACCTGGCTTTAAATCCCAGCCCTGCCCCTCATCAGCTGTGTGACCTTGGGCATGCCACTTCCCCTCTCTGAGCCTCAGTGCCTAGACAATGGGTTGTCGTGAAAATGACTTCGGTTAACGCTGGGAAATGCGGGTGTCCCGGGGTCCTGCCTGATACCCGGGTGAGGGAGGCAGCCCTGAAGCAGGGGGACAGGGCACGCACTCCGGGCATGGCTCGCCCCATCCCCCTCTGGACGTCCACGCAGTAAAGGAGGGACGTACTCGGCACCCACGCCCGTTTTATCCCCCTTCCCGGATGATCACCAAGACTTTGCACTCATCAAAGGCTGAACCAGGTCCAGGAACAGAGAGGTTAAGAGATTGTCCAAGGTCACACAGCCAACAGGGTAACGGGCAGGGACGCGCGGCGGAGCGGCGGCCCTGGGCCTGTCCCCCTGGCAGCTGCAGGCAAACAGGCTCCCTCCCCGCAGGACGCTGCCCAGTCTGCAGCCGCGGACACCGGGACCCACCTCCGAAGGTCTCCAACCTTAGTTTCCCCAAATGCGGGCCGACCGCCCCCGATCCCGCCCTGGAGGGCTCCGGGCACGGGATGGGCGGTGGGCGCCCCAGCCTGGAGGCCGGCCGGCTGCCGCGCGTACGCGGGCGCGCCGCAGAGCCGGCGGGCGGGGACAGCGCGGGCTCACCGGACTTGGGGTAGGTGACGATCCACACGTCGCTGGGCCGCACCGGGAAGTTGGCGATCTCCTCCATCTTCCCGCGGCAGAAGGGCGGCAGGCGCACGCCATGGAACTCGAAGTACTTGCTCTCGAACTCGCCCGGGGTGCTGGGGGTCTCCGCCTCGCTCTCCGCCATGCCGCCGCCGCCGCCCGGGCCCGGAGCCGCGCCGCCCGCCGCCGCCGCCCGCCCGCGCCGCGCCGCGCCGCGCCCGCACCCCGCACGCGCCCACGCCCGCCGCCCAGCCGCGGCGCGGCGCTCCGCAGGCGTGACGTCACGGCGCCGCCTCGCCCCAGCGGCTCAGAGGCTGCGCTCCGCCGGTATGACGTCATGGCCCCGCCCGCCGCGCCGTCTGCCCTCCGAAGACGTGACGTTGTGGGGCCTCAGGACTGCCCCGCCCACACCCAGCCGCCGGTACCCGCACGGACCCTGGAGACCCCCCCCGCCCTCCCCCTCCCAGCCCGCAGTCCGCATCCCCATCCCCTCCATCACGCGTTCATTCATCAGCCATTGGTTCCGTCCTTCCCGCGAGCGCTCGGCACAGACTCAGGAATTGCTCCAGCTCGAAGTGACCTTACAGGTTCATTCCTTCATTCAATGAATATTTAGGAAGCATCTGACCTGTCCCAGGCACTGGTCCAGGTTCCTGGCCCTCTCAGAGCTTACGTTTGTGAGTAGCCGAGGTGATGTCTGGCAGTGACATGTGCTGTGAAAAACATGCTTCATCATCTCCGGGGGGCAGAAAGGGGTGGGGGCTTAATTGCATTTTCCAGGACCAACCCCAAACCTACAAAGACCTTTTGACCAGATAGCGCCCCAAACCCGCATCTACTAAAGTACTTCTCATCTAGACACTCTGAGACCAACAGAATTCTAAAGAGGTTTTAGAATTCGCTGAAAAAATACATATATTAAGCACCTAGTGCATGTCTGGGTCTGGGGAAACGCGCAGATTAAAACCATGAAATCCTGGTCCAGTTCTCTGAGACTCCTTGTCCTCAGCTGAGAAGAGATGCGAAAGAAATGGCGGTCTGTGCCTGTAGGTGGCATGGCCGCGAGCGTGGAGGCAGAGAACTACACCGCCGGGAATCCGGGGCACAGCAGGCAGGCAGGACCTACTCCCTCTCTCTCCTTCTTGCTCTGTAATTTTTTAAAACTGATTTTCAGAGGTGGGAGGAAGGAAGAGAGAACGGGAGGGGAGACCGATGTGTTGTTTCACTTATTCATGCACTCACTGGTCGATTCTTGTATGTGCCCTGACTGGGGATGGAACCTACAACCCTGGAGCATCAGGACGATGCTCTAACCCACTGGACCACCCGGCCAGGGCCTCTCCTTGTTCTAGGCTGAGACACCTGCAGCCTGGCACGGGGTGGGGGCTGGGGGGGCACACAAATGGCTGAGGGTGCATGTGTGCACAGGGACAGAGAGAGGAACGGGAGCGATTCACCCTGACTCGGGGGGCTGGGGAACATCCTTACAAACCCAAAAGAGGGCACTCCAAAGCTCCTGAGACGTGATGAAGGACAGGTAGATGTCACACAGAGACAGCGCACCAAAGGCTGAAGGAATTGAGCAAATGAGTGAATGGCTGAAGCTTCGAATGCGGTTCTTCCTATGAAAGGAGGCAGGGGAGAGCCGTGTGGTATTGGATTGGAACCTGAGGCATTGATGTGAGCTTATTAGTTTTTAAAATACCTATTTCTTATCTCTGCTGCCAAGGCCCTGAGGTGCTGGGATTTCCGTAATACTGGGCATACCTGCCGCCCAGAGCTTGGCTGCTAAGTACCTCCCCACCAGAAGAAACAAGGGCTTCTTGAGGAAAAGGTCAGTTCCAGGTCTGGGCGAAAAAGTACAAAAGGAGCCTAAAAAGTCTTGGGCCAAAGACATTTTTTGGCCAAAGACATTTTTTGGCCCAACAAGACATTTGTTGAGCCCAAAAATGAGAAAGTTGTTTTTTTTTTTTTTTTTAATGATAGGGATAGGTCAAAAGGACACAGGAACTAGCTTGAAAGGCCAAATTAGGAATGATTTGCACATGTCAGACAAAAAATTAGAAACAATTAAAATGCCCATCAACAGTAGAATGGATAAATGATGATATATTCATACCATGGCATGCTTACTACACAGCGATAGAAAAAAAAAAAGGAATTGCTGGTATACACAACACAGGTGAACTTCACAATCAAAATGAAGAACAGCAGCAGCCAAATACCAATGGTGACATGCTGTGTGATTCCGCTCACATACGGTTCAAGGACAAGCGAATCTACGGCGACAGAGACCAGAAAAGTGCTTAATTTGGGTCAGGTTGAGAGGGTTGAATGGGTGTACGCACACAAGTACCCTCCGGAGTGTTGGAAACACCTTGCTCGCGGCGATGGTTACCTGCTGGTGCAGTTATGGTACGGACAGAGATGGAGGCACAGACAGAGGTACAGACAGACGGTAGGCAGGTAGAGATGCAGGGCCTGTCTCATGGTCACGCCACTGTGGGAGTCGTACAGGGCCCCGTGCTAGGAGGGCCCTGCACTTGGGGTTTAGCGCTCTGTGGTCACCACCTGGAAATTCTTAACAATTTTATTTGAACTCGTGCTTTACAAGCGAAGTCTGATGGGGTGACGGAGCGCGTGCGAAGGACTTGGCGGCTGAGCACTCCATCTCTGCAGGTGTTCAAGAGGCGGAATAGCCTTCTGCCCGCAGACTCTTCCTAAATAGCGCGGACCCGGAAATCTTCTGCCCCCTGAGATCCCTAAGGCAGCGCAGGCGGCAGGAAGGGCGGCCACGGCGGGTCGCTGTCCGCGGTGCTGAACGCGCGCGGCTTGCCAGACCCTGCCGCTCTTCCCCATCTGTGACTGTGGGAAACCGCAACTACCCGGGGCCTGCTTTTGTTTTGTTTTCTGTGCTGTCTTGATGCATATTTTCCTATTTGTATATACTATCAAAGTTTTAAGGTGAAGTGCTCATTTATTACAGAAACATCAGACACATAAAATTAGGGAGAATTGTGTGATGAACTTCTATGTACTTATCACCCCCTGTCAAGTGCTGGCAACTCGCGTCTCACCCTCTGGCCGGGTTCACCGACAGGGGCCATGGCCAAGCCAGGGCTGCAGGGCGCGGAGGGGTCCTTGGTGGGCACACAGGAGGGAGGGGAGGCGGTGGACCCCGATGCAAGCACAGCTGCGGGGAGACCACGGTGCAGAGAACAGAGAGGACCCTGACGTGACGCAGGCCCAGGGCCCCATCGCAGCTCCCCCGAGTTTTGTGCAGGCGGCCCCCCCGGCCGGGGATGGGGGGAGGCTCAGAGGGGGCCCTCCTAGTTGGGTGCTGGACACAGAGCTGAAGTGTCTCTAAGGCACTGTCACTGCCCCCTCTCCCTTTCTGAGCAGCCCTCCCTACCAGGGGAGGGCGTCTGCATGGGGTGCTTCATTGTCTCAGATGGATCCTTCGCGGTGTACATGTTATGGTGTCTGTTCTGCACGGGGCGGGGTGGGGAGGGCTGAGGAAAGGGATTGCCCCTGGTCACGTCAATGCCGAGTTGCAGAAACGGGCCTGGAACAGAGGTGTTTCTGGACTCAGAGCCCAGGATCCCTCCTCCAATCTAACACCTCAGGCTCTGTGTCAGGAGGACATCAAGGTAACAAGGCAGGGAACCCTGGCCCAGGTCCACTCCTGGGCTGTCTGCTTTGTTAGCTGAGCCATCTCAGCGCCTGGCCACAGCTCCCGTGTGGGTTCTGCTCTGGGACGGGGAGGGCAGTGGCTCCCAGAGAGGCCAGAAAAAGTCTGCTGTCTCACCCTCCTCTCTGCCCAAGAGGGAGGGGGCGGGAGCGGGGTGGAGGCACCATCGACCTTCCTGTGGAATGAGGCGGGGGCGGGGCTGTGCTGGTGGCAGGCCGGGGACACCCCAGCAGGAGCACGTGCAGCTGGGATTCCGAAAAGACTGTGACCCCTTTGGCCTCGCTCCCCTCACCACCCGTGTCCTGTGGGCTCTCGCCTCTGGCTGGGTGGACCCCGGAGGAAGTCAAGATCAAGGCTGCTGGAGTGCGCAGACCATGGGGGTCACCCCCAAAGGCTGGTGCAGGACCGCCGAAGTCACAGAAGGATGTGAGGGAGGCCTGGCCCCCCTCAGGCCCGCTGGCGCCCCGACCGCCGAGGGGAGCCTCTGGCTCAGGCTCTGTAAAGCCCCGCGCTCGGCTCCACCACGGTGCCCAGACCCTCCTCTGCAAGCTGCCCCGGCTCCCCGAGAAGGAAGCTCCAGAGCCAGGATGTGTGTCTGCTCCAGCTTCCTTCTCCCTCTGATGGGACAGGGCTGGGGTGACCTGGGCACACGTGACCCAGGACATGCCAAAGGGCTGGGCCTCTCCCCAGAAAGAAGTCCCCAGCCCCCAGGCAGCTGCTTCCAAGGAGCAGGGGCTCCAGAGGGGCTGGTGGGGCCTCCTCTGGCTCCCAAGGGCTCCCCACTCACACGGGTGGAGACAAGAGTCTGAGAGAGAAGAAGGGAGGCTGCCCCTCGGTCCTCCACGTGACCAAGAATTCCAGTGCCCAGCCTGGGCCAGGGGCTGGGCCTCCCTCCAGGGGGCAGACACGGGCACAGTCACTGGGCTGGCCCAGCCAGCTGCCCCTCAGGCCTGATGAGCAGGGTGGGTCTGGGCTCCTTGGCCAGGTCCACGGGAGGGGCTGCCTCAGGCTGGAGGAGGCCAGTGGCCGGCAGGCTGTGGGGGAAGCAGAGGCCAGTGAGGGCAGACGTCAGCGCCCGAGGCTGGGCGATGCGGGCTGCCAGCCTGGGTCCAGGGAAGCGGCAGGAGCCCCCCAACCCAGGACAGCCTCTCCTGCCCCGCACCAGCCCGCGTGCTCGCCTCACCTGACCAGCCCGAGGAACTTGTCCTTCGTCCTGGAGTAGGCCCCCAGGGTCATGCTCTTCAGCACGCCCTGCATCCACCACAAGTCGGCTGGCATGTCGGGCAGCCACATCACCAGCCTGGGGGGACGGCAACAGCTTTAGGGACGGGGATCAAGAACCATCCACAGGTACTGGTTCCACCACGGAGCAGCTCAGACCTGGGGGGACTCTGAACTCGGTGGGAGTGGCCAGGCCTCTAGGGCCGACCCCACAGGGCACAAGGAAAGCCAGGGGGAAGAAAGGGGGGGCCTCTGGGGCCAGGCTGGCTTGGGGTGCCCCCCAGTGCCACTGCTCACCAGCTGTGCGACCTGGGCAGGCAAGGAGCCTCTCTGGGCCTCGGCTTTCTCACCCTCCGAATGAGGACAGCCACCTCGTCTGCAGTTCCTAACCTCCTCCCTCTCTAGGTCCCTTCCTCTCTCGTCCCCTCAGATCTGGTCCCCACTCCACACCCCCGCACCCACTCTCCTCCGAGTGAGGGTCCTGAAACACTCAGCCCTCTCAGCTGTCACCCGCCTGTGCCCCCAGTGGAGCCCTGCAGCGGCAGCAGAGGGCCGGCTGGCCAACCGCAGCTGAGAGAGCGCTTGGCGGGGCACCTTCGCAGATGCCAGGGCCTCACCCTCCTGCCCTGCCACCGTATTGCCCTTAAAGGAGCCTCTAAATCAGGACTTCCAACTGGGCAGACGGTCCACAGTGTACTGTAACAGCACGACACAAGCTGGACCGTCACCCCCCTTGCCCAGGACCTTCTGCCTCTGTTACTGCACCTCCGCATCAGTTACAGAGAACACTTAGCGTAGGCCCTGGCCGGGTAGCTCGGTGGGTTAGAGTGTCATCCCAATGCACCAAAGTTGTGGCTTCAATCTCCGGTCAGGACACATACAAGAATCAACCAATGAATGTACAAATAAGTGGAACAACAAGATGTTCTCTCTCTCTCTCTCTCTCTCTCTCTCTCAAAAATCAATAAATAAAAATTAAAAAAGAAAAAGAAAAACACCGAGCATGATTTTCCCCGTGGGCTGTACAGGCCTCCCCATCACGGCTCACACATGGGTTTCTTTTTAACTGAAAAGGCTAGAATGTGCCTTTCTCCTTGTTGATTTTCACCTGTGACGTCAGTGTCACAGCTCGGGGTGAGCGGGACCAGGCAGTCAGCTGAAAGCTCTCCCCCAGCGGCTTAAAGAGCGGGGCTGGCCCGTCACCAGCTCAGCATGGAGCAGGACAGACACAGGGAAAGGAGGGTTCTTAAAAAGTCAGATCTCCCGGGACACCGGGGCCACACTCCGCTGCCTGCCCGCTGCTGTTGGGGCGAGACCGCGCTCTTCCCAAGGCCACGGAGCCCTGCACGCCTGGCCTGGGCCGGCCTCCCCAGCGACACCTTGGACAGTGCTCCACCGTGAGGCTCCGGCCACGCTGGCCTCCCTCTCTGCACATCAAACAAGTCTCCCTCCCTTCTGTGCCAGGACCTTTGCACATGCTGTTCCATCGTCTGAAATGCTTTTCCCATCCTTCTTTCCTTAGGGGACTCTTATTCATCCTTCAGATTATAGCTCAAAAGCCTCTAGGAGCCTATCCTGCCCAGAGAGCCCCTAGTGGGAGCCATCGTGGTTCACAGCCGGGGTAGACCTCTGGAGGTGATCTCCGGGCAGAGCCGTGATCACACGTGTGAATGTGCGAGGACTTGTGTGCTGTCACGCCCACAGGGCTAGGCTCTGAGTCTGGCTCAGTGCCGCCTCCCTGGCCTCCAGCCAGGGCTGGGCCTCTGGGAAGCCCTCGATAACTAGCACTCGAATAAATGAACGGCCAGGCAGCGCAACCCATTAGCCAGCAGTCAGAGCGGTTAGTGAGGGCTTAGCCACAGCCAGCCTGCCATGGGAGAGCCTTGTTTTACAGAAAAGGAATCTGAGGCCCAGAGAGGTTGGGAGACCTGGCCCAGGCCGCACAGCAAGCCTAAGTCAGACCAGCCCCTTGGGGTACTTTCAAAACCAGCCCATGGTCCCCGAGGCTCTGGCAGGTGGAGCAACCAGGGTGGGGCCAGGGCGCCGACCAGGCACCCCCACTTGATCGCAGCTGCTCCACTGCCCCTGTCAACCCCCCAAGACCCCCCTGAGTCATTCAGCCAACATCAAGCGGCACGGTGTGCCAGCCGCCCTCCCTGCCGTCGGGGCTGGTCCCTGCCCCGCCCCTGGCCAGGCCTCACCTTCTGCTCTGGAAGTAGGCGTACTCGAAGGGCAGCGTGCAGGGCAGCAGCAGGTACGTCAGCGCCCGCCCGGGCCACGACAAGCAGAAGCGGGCCCAGGGCCGGGGGTCCCTCTTGCATGCGCTCTTCAGCACTGCAAGAGAAGCCGGCGCGTGCCCGCTGTTCGTCCAGCCGGCTCCCTCTCCGGCTCCCTCTCCGCCTCATGCAGCCCACAGAATCGGCCCAGAGCCGGCCCCTGCTGTGAGCCGGCGGGGGCCGGACCCTCAGCTCCTGTGCTCTCATTACTGTCCCTGAGAGGGGCAGGGTGCGGCCCTTTCATGGACGAGGAGACTGACGTTCAGAGTGGAGAAGAGACTTGCCCGGAGACCGTGGTCGCCAGGAGGTGGCAGGGCCAGGATGGACCCAGAGCCTCCTCAGGCCCCTCCAGCTCTTCCCCCCCACCCCCACCCCCACCCCTTGGAAAGCCTGCTGCGGCGGCCTGAGACACGGCCAGGGCCCACGCCTTACCTCCCTCGGTAATGGTAACACATCGGTATTATTCACCCCAGCAGTGGCAGCAGCTGGGACAAAAACGACCGCTTCCCATGCTCTTTATCTCCTTAGTCCACCGGAGTGGAAAAGACGTGCTAGGGGCAGAGCTAGAGCCCAAATCCCCGCCCGGACCGTGGCGCAGGCACACACACCCCCCCAACCTGACTCTGGCCGCGCCTCTGGAGACAGATGCTGGGCGTTCACAGGAACATTCCGGAGACGCTGCTTCCGGCTTGCCTGCCGCGCGTCCTAGGACACGTCCCTTCCCTTCCCCAAGCCTTGGTTACCTCCCCTGCAGCGGCAGGACGTACGTCCCTGGACAGGTAGGTGAGGACGCAGGGATGCCCTGTAAGGGGCCAAGCCAGAAGACCCGCCCCCAGGTTGGTGCTGACCCATCAAACAGGCAGCTCTCGGGTGCCCCCGTGTGGCGGCAGCGATGCTGCCCGGGCTCCGGAGCGCCCAGCTTAGACCTCGGGCTCCGCACACGGCCAAGTCCTGGGGGGTCTCTACCGCTGAAGGAGGCACCCTCACCGCACCTCTCCCCTCACCCCCCTCGCGGTCCCTGCTCTGGCCTCACCACCGCCATCTCTCCTCCCAGCCTCCTGCCTCTCAGCCTGTCCCCCCAGCTAGGTGCAGCCATCACTAGCCTGGAGTGCCGGGGAGCAGGGACCACTGAAAAGGAGGGTCCCCCCAGGAAACCCATCGGGCCCATTTCCCTCCTCCAGGCCAGCTTCTGACCCTTCCAGCCTCCCTCAGCTCGTCCCCACCATCCTGCCCCTCAACCACCGCGTCACCGCGGCAGGGCCCCCGCTCACCTGCCCCCCACACCACCCCAGGACATTTGCACGTGCTGTGCCCGCTTCCTGGACACTTGTCCTTCCCCTCTCGCTGCCTGGCCAGCTCCTCCTCTCGCATTTCATGCAGGTGCTGATCTAACTCACTGCCCGCCCCCTCCCACGCACCCTCCCATGTGTCTGTGGGATCCCCTGCTTTCCCGTTATTGCGACTGTGACGTTTAGGTCGCCGCACAGAACAGCAGGCTACGTGGCTCAGGGCAGAACTCGCGGTCCTGCCCTCTGTACGTCGCCTGACCTCTCTGCGTCATGGTCCCCGCATCTGCGCAACACGGACAATTTAGGGCTGTCCTCAGGGTATTGCCGAGGAGATGAAATGAGACCAGGCCCTCCGCATGTGCCCCTCCCAGGTGCCTCTGTGCCCCTGCCCTTTCCTGGGTGGTGGGCCAAGGCCTGGCTCCCTCAGGCACAGGCTTGGGGGCCAGTCCCACCGGAGATCCTGGCGAGTCCCTTCCCCTCTGGGGCTTCAACTTCATCACGGATTGGACTGCGGAAACCCCCCCCCCCCGAAGCCCCCGGTCGTGGCGAGGGGCGAGCGACACCCGGGCCAGGTCCCTATGGCCCCATGCATGGCACTTAGCGGGGTCTCAGAAGGAGGCCTGCCCTCCTCCAGGCTGGCAGCGTCTTCAGAGCAGGGCGCCGGCCCCAAGCCCGGAGGGCAGGCAGCCTGCTGTGTGAGAGCAAGCAGGGAGGAAGGGGCAGTACCAGCCTCCAGCTGTGGCGAGAGCTGCTCGAAGTTGGGCACGTCCTTGACCAGCACGTTGGGCACTGCCCAGTTGAGTGACAGGCCCACCTCCTGGCCTCTGTCAGGACCAGTGTCCCAGGTCCTGTCAGCTGGGGCTGGAGGCTCCTTAGACACCAACGTCCACAGCACCGGTTCCTTGGTGAGTCCTGGGTCAGGCAAGAGGCGGGATGTGACAGGTCGGCACGTCGGAAGCCTCCTGGTGACAATGACTCCCAAGGCTCCCCACGTTGTCCGTACTATCTGCTCCGCTCAGTGCCAACACTCAGCTCTGGGGACCCCCTTGCCACTGGGCAGACCCAGGGCTCCTCCCGAAAGACCCTTCCCGCGTCCCCCGCCCCACGCTGCTCCCTGTCTCCTGTGCGTGCTCGTCTCCTCTTTTCCTTTTTCTTTTCTGAACTCTTCCTGTTCCCGTTCTAGCAGTCCCTCGGAGCCCGGGCCCCGAAGACCCAGCCTGGGGTTCAAATCTTGGCTCTACCGCCTGTTAGCTGTGTGACCCAGCAGCTCCATGCCTCGGTTTCCCTCCCTGTGAACCGGGAAAATAAAGACCTGCTCTATCGGGTTTTGTGAGAACCGGGTGAATGACTAAAGCTCAAGCCCAGGTCTGGGCACGTGGCAAGTGCCCAGCAAATGCTTTCTGGCTTCTGTGTGTTTGGGGCCACAGTTGGGGGCAAGGGTCGAGGACGTGAATTTTGGGGCCAGACAACCTGGGTTCGAATCTCAGCTCTAGCACTTTGAAGAGCATTGACCTATGGGCGGGCATCCAAGCCCTCCCTGGCCCACCCAGGGCCCCATGAACACACACACACACACTCACACCTGCAGCCACACTATGTTCCCTCAAGGTCTGACTTATGTCCCTTTGCTCTTATCTGTCCTCTCTGACTAGATTGTCCTCTTCCTTTCCACCTTCGATCTTTCATAGTCTCCCTCACTAGACAAAGTCCAACTTATCTGTCGCCCCCTCCAGGAAGCCCTCCTTGCCCACTCCACCCCCTGCCTCCCAGACTGGGTCAGGTTCCTCTTCCAGGCTCCCATAGCCCTGAGCGTCCCTCTGTCTCTCGGAGGGAGATGTCGCTCTCTGGATCTGTCCCCCTCAACTGGTCACTGGGCAGCTCAAGAGTGGGACACATGGGTGAGTCCTCCCTGGGCCCCCAGCACCCAACTCAGGCCAAGCACAGGGCAGATGCTGAGGAAGAGAGTGAGTGAGCTGAGGCCCAGGAGACTCCAGACGCCCAAGAGGCACCATGTGCCTGGCGCTCGCACAGGGCGTGACCCCAGCTCCTGGGGCGGCTGGCACCTACCGCGTCTCTCCAGGAACCTCAGAGTGTCCAGGTAGCCTTGTCTGCAGTAGTGGGCCACTACCTGCCAACACACAGCGCAGGGTGGGTTGAGGAAGGCCCGGGCTGCCCCTCAAGCTGATGGTCGCAGGCCAGAGACCTGCCTTCAAGTGGAAGTGATTCCAGCCTGTGTTCCCCAAGAGGCCCCTCAGCGAGGCTCAAGGATCCTGGGGGGCCCCAGGACTGGGCAGGGGGAGGGGGTTCCACAGGATGGCAGCTGGGATGAATGTGCAGCGACTCGCTGGCTGCGAGCCCCGCCCCCGCCTGCTCTGGCCCAGGGTGCCTGGGCCATTGCCTGGCTCCCATAGGTCGGTGGATGAGGGCCCCCTTTGCCCTTTGGTCTTCAGTTCCAGGACCAACCTGAGGTGGCAGAAGGGCCCTGGCATCCATGGCCACCTGTCTCGGTCAGTGTCCCTTGCGTGGGGACAGGACACCTGCGGGTCCTGGAAGGAGCTCTGCCTTCCCTTGCTCTGTGGCCTCAGGGCAGCCACACCACCTTCCCGAGCGCCTCCGTTTCCGGGGCTGCAAAACAGGGCTGCGCCGGTCTGTCCACCGGTCCTCTAGGGGACCGGAGAGCGGGAACCGGGCCGTCCCACATACTACAAAGCCCTGCGCGACCGTGAGAGCTGTAGGGAACAGGGGGCTGGGGGGGGGGCGCAGGCGTGGTTGGGCTGGGGGAGCCTGTTAGGATGGCAAACTGTTTGTTACCAAATCACCTATTTTCCAGAAATATAGAGCCGCAAAAAACAGGAGTGGGCCTGCGGTCCACCCTCCCCTGAGCGCGTGCCTCGCCTCCGCCCCGACGGCCCACGTGGCCACAGTCTAGGGCAGCAGCTCACGGCGCGGGACAGGGCTGGCTGAGGGTCTGAGACCAGGCTTGGCTGCATCCAGGCTGTGTGACTTCAAACATGTCACTTAACCCCTCTGGGCTGTGGAGTCCCTCCCGGAGATGCAGGGCCAGTCACAGTACCTTCTCACAGGCCCTGACTCAGAAGAGCGCAGGCAGAAGCCCCGCTCCACCCTGCGCTCGGCAGCGCTGGCCCTCGCCGGGGCCGTCTGACTCGACGGGCGCTCAGGAGGGGAAGGGTGCTGAGAGCGCGGCCTGGGCTCCAGGCTGCGGGCTCAAGCGCTTGGCTGTAGGGCGAGCGGCCTGTGTCCTAACTGCCCCGAGGCTCTGGGGAGTGTTCAGAGTGTGCCTCGCAGGGCCCCAGATCACGGCTGAGGCTCCAGCACCTTCCAGACTGGACGCCGTGGCCAGACCTACCTCACGGCCGGGGGTTAGGAGGCTGGTGATGCCCAGGAATAAGTTCAGGGTGGAGATCTGGAAGCTGGCATTGAAGGCGTTCAGCTCGAAAATGCTGGCGGAGGAGCTCTGGGGGCAGATGTCCACTGTCCCAGGGAAGGCCGACACAGTGATGGTGGAGGGGCAATCCGCGAAGGGCAAGTTGTTGCTCAGCGCCCCGTCGATGTAGCGCTGTGGTGGGGGTGGCCGGTGCTGCCCTCAGGATGCCTGCCCCCTCCCGCACTGCCGCCGAGCCCCCCGCCGAAAGGGGGCTGCGGCGGTGACCTATGGCTGCCCCTGAGTCATGGGGTCTGTCTCAGCCCAGCGTGCTCTGAGCTCCCCAGGAGCAGGGGGAAGGCGGGCACACAGTAGGTGCTCAGGGAATGAGGTGCCCTCCGCCCACGCCCCCTCGCCCGCAGGTGCCCCGGCTGTGCAGAGCCCAGGGCAGGGGCTCACCCACTTACCTCCCCTCTGAACTCGGGGGGGATCATCCCGCAGTAGAAAGGAAAGTACAGGGAACAGATCAAGGCCTGGGGAGACAGGAGCCCGCGAAGACAACTGTTCACGCGCCTCATGCACACTCAGACCTGCTCTGGGCACCATGGCCAACCCCAGGACAGCCCACGAGGTGGCCGTCAGTTGTCCTGCATCCAGGGGAGGGAACTGAGGCCCCAGGAGACACCATGTCCCAGCCACGTGCTCAGAGCGGAGAAGGGATTTGAATGCAGGCCTGGCTCGACAACTGCCCTTCTCCCACCTCGGCCCCGTGCCCCGCCCCCCTGCTCCTGCTGACAGGACCCCTGCAGACTTGGGGCTGCTGCTGCGAAGTCTCCCCCAAGGACAAACAGAGGCACCAAGTTCCACCTCCCCTCCACCAGTCTGGCAGGAACGCTCCCCCGCGAATCTAGGGACATCTCCCAACGCGTTGTTCCTTGGACACTCATTCCAACCAGAGGCTCCCCAGACAAAAAACCTGACTCCTCCACCCCCTTGGAAAGCACTGCCCACTCTTCCCCGGAGAGGCTCTGTCAAGTCCTGCAGCAAAACAGACCTTGACCGTGGGCCCTGACACGACTGGTACTTAGGGCAGGATCCGTCGGCGCAGCCGAGTGCAGGGGCGCTGTGCTGCGCACTGAAGGGTGCATAGCAAGACCTCTACCCCCTAGATGCTAGGAGTGCATACAGGCGCACACATGCATGTGCACATGTATGCACACATGCACAGTCGTGATGTGCAAAACTGTCTCCAGCGCTGCTGCACGGCCCCCAGGGGAAAATTGCCTACTTGAGAATCACTGAGCCAGAGCTTGCTACTCTCACAGAGTAGAGAAGCTTTGTCCCCCAGAACCCTTGGGAACATCCCTCCAGGCCTCTCCGGGAGATGCCGAACCTACCCTGGCTCTGCCCAGACAGGGACACAGGTGAGCACCTCCTTCCCACAGATTAATAACAAGAGTGACAGCAGCTAATGTTTCCCGAGCACCCGCCACGTGCCAGGCCCTGTACTATGTGCCATGTAGGCAAAGACGGTGGAACGCACTTTGGCGTCCCCAGCTGGCCTCCTCGGGGAGCCGTGGACAGCAGCCTGCAGCAAGGCACGGGCCCTTCCCTGCGCACCCGAGGAATTCAGGTGGGCGCAGACTCAGACAGGCCCCCAGAGGCAGCAGGTTCTGCTTCGGGGAGGGACCCCAGTCTGCGTAGAAGGTGCAGACCCCGAAGGGGAGGGTGGGCAGAGATGCAGAGGGGGAAGCACGGGACTCCTGGCTGGGCCCCTCAGGGTGGCCCCGTGCCCCTGCCCCTCCGAGCACGCCCCCCTCCTGCCCCACCCTCCTTCCTCGGCCGCGCGGCTCTGTCACACAGGCCTCTTCTACTTCGACATTGGATGGCTTCTTCATTCATTGCAGATGGGGTCACCATCTGTACCCCACACTGGGTAGACTAGGAGCCCCAAGATTTAGGCAACACTTGGTCTGTGTCGTTCCCTGTAACAGTTGCAGTGGCCGGCACATACAGATGCTCACTAAATGTTTGCCGTCTGCAACAGAAAGCACTTGGAGCCCTGACTGGTGTAGCTCAGGGGGTTGGGTGTTGTCCCGCAAAGCAAAAGGCTGCGGGTTCGATTCCCAGTCAGGGCACATGCCTGGGGTGTGGGTTTGGCCCCCGGTTGGGGCATGTCCAAGAGGCAATCAATCAACTGATCGATGTTTCTCTCTCACATCAATGTTTGTCTCCTCCTTCCCCTCTCCTCTCTAAAGATAAATACATATAGTCCTTAAAAACGGAGGACCGGGGTGGATTATGGGCTGGCAGGCACCTGTCTGGACGGAGCAGCCCCTTTGGGGGGCTCGGACTAAAAACGTCTGACTGTAAGTCTGACTTTTCCCCGTCTCCAGCCACACGCCCTCTGTGTGCTGCTGAGGGCCCCCCGCAGGCCAGCGGGTCTCCCTACTCACCTTGCCACCCCTCTCTGCCCCTCAACTCCCTCATTTGTAAGCTGAGGGGCTGTAAGTTCACCACCCCCACCCCCACCCTGCAGATGTGCCTGGAAGTCACTCTGTAGGAAAGGGAGCCCACCCAACTGCCACCAGGCCCTGGGGCCCCCCACCTGCTCACCTGGATGACCTCCTCCCGGCTGGCAAAGTCCGTGACAATAAAATTGTGTCCATCAGGCCAGCGGGTGATGGAGATGCCCAGCCGCTGAGAGGCCAGGATGTGGATGTTGTCGGGAACAATGTGTTCCAGCTTCTGCCTGATATACTCAATGGGTGCAAAGGCAGGGTGGAAGACGCCCAGGCTCAGCCGCTCTGTCCCCTTGACCATGTCCAGAAGGTAGGAACAGCAGGCGTCTGCAGGCACAGGGACAGGGGCCTAAGCCGCCAGGGAGCCTGCCACTTGGGCGGGCTTGCTTCCCTCCCGGCTGCCGTGGGAGTGGAGGGTCCTCTGCTCTCACGCTCAGAATGTCTGTGCCCAGCCCTGCGTGTGGCCCCAAGTGACCTTGGGAACAGTCTTCCCGGCCCTGAGCCTTCTGCCTGCCTCTGTGGAAGGGGAATAACCGGAGCCCCGAGTTGGTAGGGTTCTCATGAGGATTAAGCGGGAGGGTGAGGGTGTAAAAACCGCCGGCTGGACGCCGAGCTCGGGCTCTGGAACACCCCTCCCTCCACATCAACCCCCCATCCCCTCCCCCTCCCCCTGTCGGGATCTGCTTCCGCTGGGGCTGGCGACAGCCCCGCCCTCCTGGCCGCGCCGTCCGCACCGACTGGCAAGCCCAAGATGATGCAGAGGGCACTGAGAGCCCCGGACGACGAGCCATAGAAGCGGCGGGCGCCCTGGAGGAGGCGCGGGGCGCGCTCCCGCAGGCAGTGGGTCGCGCCCACGTGGTAGAGGCCCAGGAAGCCGGAGCCGCTGAAGGACAGGCTCCAGCTGCCCTCCTCCTCGAAGCAGCTCATGCCGTGGGGCTGGGGCAGGCAGGGTCGAAACGGGGCCGGGAAGCGGGGTCGGTGGCAGACGCTACCAGGACGGCCCGCAGAACGTGGAAGGCTCCCGGGGTGAGTGAGGCGCAGCGCCGCTGAGAAGCTTTGGCCAGAGAGCCCGGGCACCGCCCCTGGGCGCCTTCCCGCCCCTGGGCTGTGCCCCCTGTCGCCCCAGCCAATGAGGGCCCTGGGCTGCGACCGCCCCCTCCCTGTTGGCCAGGTGAGCCCCAGGTGTGCCCCAGAGAAGTGCCAGCGCACCCTGGGCGTCCCTGCGCTGCCCCCACCTGCCTGCCCTGCGCCAGCTGGCCCCAGGTTTCCGGGTCACTGGGCTCCCAGGCAATGGGACCAGCTCTTGTCAGATCCCTGGTCGCCTGGGCGGAAGCCTCATTCCTGACCTCATGTGACGGAACCAAGGGCGGGAGAGGCATGGAAGGCCAGGCGTTGGCAGAGCTGGACCCAGGACACCTGGTCTTTGGGGTCAAAGCCGACTTAATTCCACAGCCCAGCTGGTAGGGGACCAGGGACAGCTGTAGGAGACAGGGACTCGGCCAGCACTCCCTGCCCCGTATAGGCTGTGGTTGTTCCCCACGATGTGAGGGGTTTGGATTGAGAGCCTAGAGAGAGACCTTCCTGCTCCGATCTCTGCACCCCCAAGCACAGACACCCCCATCAACTGCCCAGCAGCTCCAGGGGCGGGGGGCTGCAGGCGGGGCAGCGGGCGCCACACTGGGCGGGGCTGTCTTCACCATCCCCTTCCCAGAGCTGTGAGTAGGGGCCACTGTGCCCCTGGCCAGCTGGGGACACTGACCAGCAGCACAGCCAGGAAATGCCTGCAAGCAAACTTGCCCATATCCTGGGAATGGGGGCAGCAGTTCTGGAAATCAAGTCTGGGGGGCTCGTGAAGGAGGCGCCCCGGAGAAAGTGGACGATGTGGTCTCAGGGTGATGCGGGTGCGGGGCTGGCGGGCAGCGTTGCCTGTGGCGGTGGGTCATACATGACCGCGCCACCCCCTGGGGGCGGATGAGCAGCCCCGAAGGGCGGTCCGTGGAACACCCTAGGGCCTCGCAAGTGAGGGGCAAAAGACAAATGAGGTTTAGGGCACAATATGACTATTTATGAGAACACTCCCAAGGCATTACTGTGTACTTTTTTCCAGTAATACAGGGTTTAGCGCAAATAACCCCCCTTTTTTATTACAAAATCATAACCATGTAATTCTGTTACATAACACTATCACACTCAAGCGCACCGTGTGACATTACAGGTGAAACGTTGGCATGAAAACTACAAATTATTACACCCACATTATTACCCAACCAACCACCCTCAAGCAGGTGCTACTGATGCCGGACCCCGTATATTGACTGCCCGGAAGATGGGTTGGAAGGTCACACTGTCCCTGAATGGGGGCTGGGTCCAGCGCGGCTCTGCCTCAAGCTGCTGGTGGTGTGTGGGTTTTTGACTTAGTGTTAGAAAGACTTCACAACACAAATCCAAATGCTTGGGGTTTTGAGGGTATGCTTATTAAGGCTGGGGACCGTGGAACAAAAGAGGGGCTTAAGGTAGAAGCAGCAACCAGAGAGAGAAAGTCAGAGGAAAAGGGGGCCTTGGAGACAGGATGTGGGGGCCGGTAGGGGACAGCCAGAAGTTAAGCCTGGGATGAGCCGCCCACCACTCTCTGGGGGGACGGAGAGCAGAGGTACAAGGTGTGGGCGCTGTGCGTTCGTTGTCTTGATGCTTTTTACCTTTCTTTGGCTGCTGGAGTCCTAGGGGAGGGTATTTTTTTTTTTTATTCAAAGGATTTCTTTTTCCCCCATTGCTTTTAGAGAGAGAGAAGGAAGAGAGGGAAACATCTCTGCAAGAGAGAAGCATTGATTGGTTGCCTCCCATAGGTGTCCAGACTGGGGATCGAATCAATGATGCTCCAACGGAGCCACACTGGCCAGGGTCTCTGGGGGCGGTCTTAACAGAATAGTCATTAGCTCTTCAGGTGTGTCCTTCCATTTGTTGATTCATCAAAATGTGTGTATAGAGGGATCAGGGTTATTTTTCGGGTTAGCTTTATTTGTATGTATGTATGTATGTATGTATTTCCCACCCAAGGACATTTTGTTCACTGCTTTTCAGAGAGAGAGGGAGGGAGGGAGAGAGAGAAACATCAGTGCAAGAGAGAAACGTCGATCGGTTGCCTCCTGCACACACTGCACCCTGACCGGCGACCACACCGGACGTGCAGGTGTGCGTCCTGACCAGGAATCGAACCTTCAGCCTTTTGGTGTAAGGGCTGGTGCTCCCAACGACCGAGTCCACCAGCCAGCTCTGGTTAGATGTGCTTTTAAAGGACGTTATTGAAAAGGGATCAGGACTGAGGCCAGCCAGCCCCAAGATGGCCTGGAATGTGTAACCCATCTGCTCCTAAGTGCCCTCAGTCAGGGAAGATAAAACCTTGCGATCCACGAGCTGGCTGGAAATTGCGCAGATTGTTTGGCCTTGTTTAATTCTTAGCCTCAGTTTCCCGTACTCCACTTGTGCAGGAGCTTCCCCAGCTCCTGTCGTGCCGTAAGGCATTCGGGTATCAGAGTCTGCCTGCGGGGGTTGGCGGCGGGGGAAATGAGGCGGGGAGGAAGGGGCGATAAACACACTGGGGAAGCAGAGCAGAGGCCGGTGGGGGGCGTGGCTCCGAGAAGAGGCGGGGACGCAGCCGGGAGGGAGCCGCAGAGCGGGCCCGCCCCTGCCCCGCCGGGCTCCCCAACCGCCTCCCAGGCTGAGTAGGAGGCAGGCCGTGCGGCCCCTGCTTGGCTCTGAGGGCTAACAGCACGCAGTTACCTCCTCCCTGGCACGGGGCTGAGCTCCTTCTCCAGGGCGTTTCGTTCTATCTTCCCGACAGCGCGTGATGTAAACTGTGTGGCCGACTCCGTTTGCCAGATGCGGAAACTGAGACGAGATGGGAACCGAGAGCCCCGCCCGTGAAAGGCCAGCTGGGCCTCTGCCGGCCTCCCTGCGGCCCTGACGCGGAGAAGGGCCGGCGCAGGGAGTGCAGACCGGGGAGCCTAAGGTTCAGGCCGGAGGAGCCCACTGGGGCGCTGAGGGCGCGGGTTCATGGCGTGAGAGAAAACGGGGAAGTAGGAAGTGTTCCTGTGTCTTTTTTCCCCTTTGAGGGAGAGAGGGAGAGAGGGAGAGAAGGGTGGGGGGGGGAAGGATGGGGGGAGGGGGAGAGAGAGACTTAAGAAGATAAGCCACCAGCTAGATACTGGTACTTACAAGGGATGAGTGCCAGGGGTGGCGAGTGCTCCGTCTTTGAGTTTAGCTTTGTGTATAAGTTTGACTTTGGAACCACTTTAATCTTTTGTCCACTAAAAATCATCGTCAAACGTTAGAGGGAAACAACTGAAAATAAACTACTACAAGGAGAAATCAATGAACTGTTTCAAATTCCTCATGTCACCATACCAATAGGGGGGCTTTTGAACACTGGGCTTTTGAACACGTTGCCTGTGCAGGGTGGGCAAAATAGCTTTAAAGTTATTCATATAGAAAATAACGCAAGAATTAACGAAGAACACGAGAGTGAACTCCGCATTTCGCATTCCACCCTGTACATCCTCAGGCTACAAACAAAGGTAGTGCAAACATTAACCTCTACTTTTTGCCGTGGTTTAGGACGGCGATCCTGAAAGTATTTCCTGAGATTTGTTGGAACGATCCAAAGAAAACGCAGGAAGAAGGGCAGAAGTGAGGGTCAAGGCACAGGTGGGGATGGTGGAAGGCCCCAGTGAGCCCAGCAGGAGCTCAGGTATCAGCATCAGCGCGAGGATTTGGATGGACAGAAAAAGGGGGAAGCACAGGAAAAGGGGGAAGCGGAGTAGCTTTGTGCACGGATTATCCTCACGCTGTTTATGTGTATCTGGGAGCTCTGTCCTCTGACAGGGCCTAGAAGCAAAATCAGCCCAAAAGGAAGGAGCGCGGCCAGCACCAAGGTCTTGGTTTTCAAAATACCTTTCCGTGCAAAAAGGAAAAGCTCTCGTGAGAAACAGCTGATTGCAACGTCGACGGGGACTTGGGCCTGGAGCATCTTAGGCCGTAAGCAAGTGTTTAAGAAATGAGGGGACTTGTCAAAAGGATACAGGAGCCAGTTCGTAGGGGCTTTCACTGGCTAATTCTGGGAGAATCTGAACATGAAAACAAATCGCTTTAATAATAGAATGTTCATGGAATAAGAGAGAGTCTGAGTCCATAAATGAGATAAAGGAATAAATAAACGGAGGAGCCCAAGCTCTCCCTTATGTTAAATGGTAAGGAATTGTCGTAGAAAATGGAGAATTGTTTTGCAGGATTCTCAGTAATAATGGACTCAGCCAATAATCATCGATGGGGGCCAAACTGGTGGGAAGCAGGAACAGGATATTTACATAGTTTCAAAGTAACCTCCCTCACATTTACTATTAATTACAAATGTTAAAAAAAAAAAAAGGTTATAGTGGATTAACCTTGCAAATACAACCATAACTGAGTATCAGAGTTGTTGTCCCCAATAACAGGACAGACTGACATTGCATGCCTCCGGATGTCATCCCCTAAGAAGGACAAATACATGAAACACAGAATAATGACCCTCCAAAGATGTCCACATCCTAGTGCTCAGAATGTAAGAACATGTTATCTCATGTGTCAAAAGGTCTTTGCAGATGTGATTAAGGATCTTAAGCCCTGGCTGAGTGGCTCAGTTGGTTGGAGAGCTGTCCCATACAGCAAAAGGTTGTGGGTTCGATCCCCAGTCAGGGCACAGACCTAGATTGCGGGTTCAGGGCACACACAGGAGGCAATCAACCAATATTTCTCTCTTACATTGATGTTTCTCTCTCTCTCCCCTGGCCCCCCTCCATATCAATACACGTATCCTCAGGTGAGATTATTCTGGGTTATCTGCACGGGCTCTTTAACTGAAAGGCACCTTACAAATAGAAGAGGCAGGCGGG